TTCAACAAGCCCCCATATATTTCCGCCTCTCTGTCTTCCCCTCGAAAATGGACCGAAAGTGCCCTTAAAATACTAGGTCTTGAATTTGGGACTCAAACAGCCCTTGAAAGCTATTGGATAAAACGGGTTGAAAAATTCACAAACAGGCTTGAAGCCTGGAAACACTGATCCCTCTCTTTAAAAGGTAAAGCCCTGATTGTAAACACTATTGCTCTTTCTGGCGTCGTCTTTGTAGGAACAATATACCATCTCCCTTCTGCTATAGAAAAACAAGTTAATCGAGTTTTTTTTTCAATTTATCTGGGCTGGCAAAAACGAGCTGGTCAGCAGAAAGACAATGTTCCAACCCCCAGAAAAAGGTGGTCAAGGTCTAGTTGACATACACCTGAAAACAAACGCCCTACACCTGAAGTTTCTCAAGTCAATTATTGTCACCAATTATGACTCCCCTTGGGTTTATTTTGACGGCTACAATATTGGTTTTCAACTTTTCAAGTACTTTCCAACTGCAAAATTTATCCGTTCCAATTTGTTTCCTCATGCTCTAACACCATTGTTTCCTCATGCTCCACATTACACTCGTTTCTCTCGCATAATAATGGCACCATAACCCGTGTCTGGAAACAAACTTTGGGGCTTTTCCCAACATTTTTAACGGAAATCGACTATTAACTATCTTTCCTTCGGGAGGCACTGAATTACAAAAAGGTACACAAAAAGCACGAGTAGTTCAGGGTCGTGAATCAACACAAGGATTATGAATCAACACAATAATTATTTGTTGATGGATTTTTGAAAAATTTGAACCTCTGACTTTGGCCCTGAGCATTGAATCATTCTGCCTCTTTTCACCTACCGGAAAGTAAAACAAAATTTAAAAATTTATCATTATGATTGCCATATTTGCATTATGTTATGATTATAGATACGCTGAATGTTAGACATATTATTTATCAATCAAAATTAGGGAGATGCATTGCTTGAGTTTTTGTTACATTGGCAAACTCCAATAGCTGACATGCAACACGCCAGAACAATCAAAGATAGGTATCTTTCACTTACAACTTTACAGACGCAATATTTTGATGGTTTTGTTTCCTTTGGCTTCCCTGTTTCATGTGAACCTACAAAAGTAGAAATGATACACTACTTCCAACCCGTTTCTAGATTACGGAGACTGAACAAGTGGATCATAATGATAAAAAACTCATTCAATCTGTTCAGGCTTGATTCGTTTGCAAGTGACAAAATTTAAAAGGTTTGATATGGTTCATGATTCATAAGAGTGCTATATGTTGCAAGTAGCTACTTAAAGTATCACACTCACTGCTCTGGCTCGACAACTCGAACAACTCAACAACTCGATAATTTCTTCATTTTCCCCTTAGTTTTGAAGCATTAAATGTTATATAGAGAAGTCAATCTAGTCATGTGTAAAATTACCATAACGTTGTAATAAGGTGAAGCGCATAGATTTGTTATTCCTTACTGATCTAGAAATGAAGTTTTAGTCAATTACAATTAGGATACATAAAGGAATATAATATGTTGTAAACACGTACTTGCATCAGGAATTGGCGTAGAAGTAATAGGCTCTTCTGGCTCTAGATGTGGATGCTCGTCCTCATTTTGCATACCTAAAATAGGAGCACCATAAAATATACATGGTGAGTCGAGTGATGAATGGGGAAATGGTAACATTTGTATTATTTTTTTTAATTCTAGACTGCTAAGACAAGTTTGAGAACACCAACCGTCCCTTCTGCAAAGAGTCTTCTCTTTTCTTGGTGCTGCTCCTCTCTCCTACTCTGATAATCAATTCCCTTCAAAATAAATTTTGTTTGTGAGATTAGGAAATATCTTTAAAAAAGTCCACTCTGTCGAAAAACATCAATTGATGAATTCTTTTCTTGAAAGATGATTGTCATATTTGATTCAATAACAAATATTAAAAGTGTCATAATTCATACCAACTGAAATGCAGCCCTTCTTTTTGGAGTGAAGAGCAGGTATTTCTGCTTGGTCTCTGGAGACAGGTTTTCCTGCAAACGAAACAATTTCTACAAAGGTAATATACTTAAAAAGCTCGGTTGAATACCAAATTACAATTACAAGTGTCATAAATAGATCAATAAAGCAATAACAATTGTGAGCTAATTGTGCATTTCATCTATTACGCTCAATTTTTTAAGAACACGAGCCTCAAAATTGGTCAAGAGTTAAGAACAAATCAAGTACAAGCTAGGGCTGAGCTACTGTAAAATGCAATTTTTAACAACGTTTTATCTCAGAAACGAGGATTTTTCGCCATGTTTGGGTGCTTTTTCGGTAGTGAATATTCAAACTTGGCAGCAAATGAAGGTTGCCTCACCCACTTTGTTGACAAATGAGGCCTGAACACTTCCCTAGAGCGAAAAAGCTAGCAATTGCACTGCTTACACCCTCAGCTTCAGATTTTCGAAAAAATTAAGAACAGTCAGCCTGAACTCAAATTTAGTGGTTTTTATAAAAAGTGAGTGTATTTGATGAATCATCTGATTGCTTACCACAAAGTTCACATCCGCGTTTTCTTTTCTAAGGCTTTCATACTGCAAAGACTCTAGGGCAAGAAAATAATTCTTGTTAGCGATATCAAACTGATGACTTATCAAGGTTTAGAAATTCCAGGTATAACAATTCGTATGAAAAAATCAGTAACATGAAGACATTCCGGTTAAGACTTTAGCAAGATTCAATTCAGTACCGTTTTTCCCAATCTATAAGTCGACCCTTGAATTTTTTACTAAAAGTGCAAAGAACTGGTCTCTTTCATTGCGAACTTTCAATATTTCATTAAGAACATATATACTATTGCGTTTTAGCTGACAAAAATCACGATAATCGCGAAAGAAAGAATTTCTGTTCCAAGAACCGCAGTTCACACTCTCCTATCAAAAGTTGTCCAAACGCAAAATTGTTTATGCTAAAATTTCTTGTAAACTACCATTACAAATTCAAAGCAAGCTTTCTCAAGGCTTTTCGTATTGTACAGACCTAGAAACTCGTCTTGTATGCCGAGAAATAAGGTATTGTATAATCATATAAAAATATATAGCCGTACTGGTTATTTGTTTGAAGAAATGTATTACATACTTACCAATAAGCCTTTCTTTTATACAATTTTCAATGTCTTTGCATGTCGATTGGTGATCATCCCTTGGTTCCAAAAAGGTTTCATTTTCCTCACACAAAGGCTCTTCTCCACCTGTGATCCCTGGTTAACAAAAATTCCAGTTAAGAAAATATCCAAAACAAATTTGATATAAGAATGTCACCCAGCAATAATCTTTCAGCAAAGGAATACAGTTCAAGCGTCATAATTGATATCGGCTCTCTCTAGTGATTTCGATCCCTAATGAGCAAATATTAATTTTTTAAAATGGCTTTGAAAGAAGAAAACGTTTTGAAATACTTTTGTGTTTTGACTGACAAAAATCATGACAATCGCAAAAGAAAGAATTTCTATTCTAAAAACCGCAGTTTTCTCTCCTCTAAAAAGTTGTGCAAACGCAAATCTGTTCGTCTGATACTGTTCGTCTGATGCCTTTTTATATAAATGAAACTTGATTGGTAGACTGATATTGTGGGGGTAGTAGAGGTAGGGTAAAAGGACATTCAAAAGTTTTATTCTGTTACCGATATCTGTTACCGTATTCCAACCCATGCAGCTTGAAAAGGAAGATATAGGGATTTTGTGTGCTATAGAAAAAAAGAAGAGAGGTTAACAAATTAAGTAGTTCTATTGATCTTTGTTATTTGGATTAGTTAAGAACATCAACAATATATCAAATGTTCACAAAAGTTATTGTAAGAATCATTGAATAATTTGTATTCGATTAGACAATTGACACTATAATTGAGCTGAATGCTGGTAATGAATGTTCACAATGATTGTAAATCTACATTTTTTAAAGATCAGCTCATCAGTTAATACATAACTATCCAGGCTTTGTGGCTGTGCTCCAGACTCCTAACTTGAAGGTGAGGGGTCTGGAACACAGGCCAAGATAATAATGCTTCTTTGGAGTCATTTAAATATGTATTATATGTATTTTCTGATTAGAAGTCCTATCTATTTCAAAATGAGTTATGAATTTTGAATTAACTTTTAGTAAGCTAAATTGTGTATAAATTATTTTAACTTTCACCTTTTAAGCAGGTCGTTAGAGTTGGATCTCTTGCTCTTTGTTGAGATTTTGTTATTTTGGCATTGTTTTTGGCAAAGTAAACCGGTCTCCCGATGCCTTTCTCAACCTGCCTTGAAATTTCTTGTTGTAGTTCCTTTGAAATAAGGATTTCCAGTTATTAAAGCTTCAAAAGCCAACTTTTACAAAGTAAACGAAAATAAAATATTTTGGCTTTTGAAAATCTTAAAAGTCGTAAAAACGAAAATGGAAATCACCATGAAGATGTGATATTTTTTAAACGGATGTGTTCTTCCAAATCCAAATTTACACGTAAAATCCAAAGATGATGCGTGTAAATATCGTGAAATGATGTTGTATGTAAAGATTGGTTTGCTAGGAACATGTTCGGCATGGACATTTCCACGAGGTTCAGAAGGCTAACATGAGCTAATTGTCAAAATGTTGTACCATTAAAATCAAGCGAATCTGAAAACATTGGTAGGACCTTGACAATTAAAAAGAACGTTATACCTCCTTCCGCACATCTAAGAACTCTTCTCCAAAGACGGTGCAGCGAATGGCAAGGCAAGGAACAAATCGTCCTTTATCATGGGACTTAACCGTTGTTTGCCAGTTAAGCCACTGTAAGATCTGTGAAAACCAAGATTGTAAGCTAAATTATTCTACTTGAGAAGATAGTCAAAGCCGCTACAGATGACTTGTCTTAATGTGCAATAGCCTGTTTGCATTGTCAAAGAGACTTTATATAATCATTATATGCAATGATTGAACACTACGTGACTTACATGGGCATCCTTTGACTTCGAAAACAATTAACAATTTCCTAATTCATCTTTCGAAAACAAATCTATAATGCTTTTCCACAACTTTCTCATTTTGATAGAATTCCATGAGGACATTGTAGAAATAATGCATATGGAAGCTCTGCATGCAAGCCGATCTTAAACGTTTTCTGTTTTTCGTATTATTCGCCGATTCTTGGTAGCTAGTTGCTAGGGAAAATGCTTGTTCACTGTTGTCAATATTGTGATACAAGCATAGATGAGATTTATGTGGATGGACAGTGGAGTGAAACCTATCTCCAACAACATATCTTCTACTGCTGTTTGTCAACGGATGGTCATACTCTCGAATCTCATAGGAACGAGCGAATGCGGTTTGGGGTTGTCTGTGCTCAATCGGCACGATATCTGGAACATTGATGCCCTAAAAAAGGTCATGAATTAGTTAAAGTTAGCCTTGGTTACTGTCAACCCATTTTAACCTATTCTAAATTATCAATTGGACTTGGGACCAGCCTGCAAAAGTTGCAAAAAAATGTAAGTAAGGTTTATGCTCTTGGAGTTGCTCACCAGTTAAAATTGACTTTCTCTTACATAAAAAACGAGTTCTCTCACAAAGAAAACATCTTTATCAAAAACAAACAAATGAAACAAACAGCGATAACGGTACAAGGCCATAATTGTCAAACTGTACTTTATTTTCTTCATACTGTAATAGTGTACTGAATTATCAGGAATATATTGGGCAGCCCCCCTAATGTCAATTTCGTTCTGATGAAACAATATTATAATAACATCAAAGTATGTCTGTCAATATTCAGTTCAATTTTTGTGATTTAAGACTTTGGCTCATCATGGGAGTAGATATTACCTGCACGATCAGTGTATCAGTGTTTCGTATCTTTTGGCTATGCATAAAATTGCAAACCAACAACATTGAATACTGTGTTGACACAGGAAACGTGCATACACGTTAAAGGTGCGGTTTGTACCATTTAGATTTTCATGTTTGACGTGAAAGGGATACTGGAATTATCACACCTCTTCATGAAAGGCGGCTTTGCATTTAGAATTCACATTGCTGAAACAAGATGTTTTCATACAGAAGTGAGAAAGCATGACGATTTCCCATTACATATGTGGGATCCGGATATATAGTCGAAGAAGATTGCAATGCAGGAAGGGTTCGTCCGCACTCATCATAAAAAAGTGTTTTGAATGTCTAATTTTAAAAGGAGGAGATAAACAAACTTGACATAAACCGGAGAATTGCTTTATAAGGGCGCTTATTATGTACATCAAACGTCAACGCGTGCCAATAACTGGTTTTTGTGTACAAACTCTTTACATCACATCACAATCACCTCAAACAGATAGCGAAGTTCCCCAATTCATATACCGTATTAGACTGAAATCAAGGGGCGATTCACTCTTAAAAATAGCGTACGAGATTTTGCTTAAAACAAAAGGATTTCTGGGGATTTTCAGATTAAACAAAAGGAATTTCATAAAAGGTGTACGAGATTTTCTTAGAGTGATTTGCCCCTTAACTGAAACTACTTTTTGATCATCTTTGCTTTTGTTAGGTTGTTCATTCGAGAGAGGCGTTGGTTTATATGTAATCTATAAAAAATGGGATAAATAAACTCTTTTTAAAAGAACCATCAGATTGTTCTTGGCTAGTTGTTCTTGGTTTTTCTACAACTTTGAGGCTGGTTTTTCTACAAATCATTACGGGGTAAGCAGTGCGATCTCTAAATATTTGGCTCAAGGAACATGTTAAAAAAGTGTACCAGCTTCCTACAGTTACATTCAAACTAAAGAAAAAGGACTGTGCTAAAACCTTCCTGTTTACAATGAAAAAAAAGCTTGAAATTTCAAGATTTTGTGTCTTTGTTTCAAAAATGGTTTGCTTGAAAAAAGGGGAGGGGTAATTTTAAATCGATAAGTTGGTGTTCATTCATTCTTTGTTGATAGCTGTGAAGGCAGTAAATGTACTATATGTACAAATATTACTCTTTTTGGACTGTAAGAAAGAAAACTCACTTTATTTGGATCTTTAGTTTCATCAGGTATTTCGAAACATCCGTCAAATTTTCCCCACAGTTTTTCAGCAAAGGCGGGTGCACTGTTGTTCAAATGCCTAACCATGGTGCATGGAGAATCGCAAACAAATGTAACGGGCTGATATTTAAGAGAAAGATACAGGTCTACCGTGTCTCTTACTGACTCTGTCAGCATCATGAACTTTGAGGCCACTGTCATCTAAAAATACAAAGGAAATCAACTTTTAAATTTTTAGATAACTTTGTTTTATGTCCCAATTCAGTTAACAAGATGCAAATATTACCTTCAAAAGAGCTTTGATTGGCAAGATATTTGTAGTTGAAATATAATGTATGCGAATTAGAATCATGGTCTAACGGCCAGGACATTAAATAGCTGAAAGATAAAATTCAACAAATGTAAAACACTTACACCATGACGACAAACAAAGTAATAAAATCCACCAGAATTTCCAGGAGTTTTTGTAACGCCATGGCAAGGAGAATTCCCGACTAGAATAGTGGCGTAAAGTTGCTGCAGTTCAAATTTCAGCATGGCCTATAACAGAGAATTGGTTTGTTTACTATACATCTCATCGACAATATAACTTCTAAATCACATCTTATTCTTTAGATATTCAAATGTGGCTGCATTTTTGTATCCTAAAAACTACCTTCAGGGGCTAGGTCGATACAAATACAAATTCAAATACAAATATGCTTGCAAATTTCTATCCAAATACCTTGTAACATTACACCTACATTTGACTTGCTGTTTGTACTTATTTTGCAATACTTTGCCATAGAAAGAAAATTTTCTGGCCTCAATTTTTCAATTTCCGAAATTCCAATACCACTCTCTTTCACATATTTCGCTAGTAGCATTGCAACACCTAGCACAATAAATAATTGAAAATTACAATTGATAAGAAAAAAGGAATCGAATTATAATCTTCACATAATGGTATGCATAGCTTCATAAGAACCAGTAAATCTAAGTTCAGGCTGATTGTTCTTAATTTTTTCGAAAATCTGAGGCTGGATTGTTCCTAAATGTATAGGGCATAAGCAGTGCGATTGCTAGCTATTCGCTCTAGGGAGATGTTCAGGTCTCTTTTGCCAACAAAGTACGTGAGAAAACCTTCATTTGGTGGCAATGTTTGCATATTCACCGAAGAAGCACAGACATATTGCTAAAAATTCTCGATTTTGAGAAAAAACGTTGTTCAAAATTGCATTTTGCAGAAGCTCAGCCTCAGCTTGTTCTTAATTTGTTTTTAACATTTGACCAGTTTTGAGGCTTGTGTTCTCATAAAATTGTTCTTATAAAAAAGAGTGTAAATTATTGAACGATAACCATACCTTAAAGGTCGTCTTTCCTGTCTTTCAAGTAAACACTTCGCTTTTCGTTTTCAGTGTTGATTTCAAACTTCCTCTGCATAGATGGAATCACTGGAGGAATATCTGCCATATCAATTTTAAAACGAAGTCTTGCTTTAGAATAAGCACATTTTTCCAGTATGTGCAATTTGATTTTATCAAGCATTCCTTCCAGCTTGTTCTCACCCTCCTCGTATTGCTCTTTTTTAGGTGCAGCTTTCTTTGCTTGCAATGTTACCTGGTTATTAAAAAAATAGTGATCCTTGGTGCAACGTTTTCGTCAGTCACTAAGAACTAAGAGCATAAATTCGGGAAAGACTGCACTCAAAGGAGGCAAAGGGAACAAAATGCCTAAAAAGGGCAAAACAATAGTGCAATGAAGAAAAATGCTAAATTTTGCGTGGACAAGGGGGAACTGGCGAACTGCCCCCCTTGCCCCTGGTGTAGACGTCCATGCATAGAAAGAAGGTGTTGTCAACTAAGCACATTGTCTATCCTTAAAATACTATACTATCTATTTGGAAATCATTGAAAAATTAATGCAACCGTATGTCACCTACTTCATCAAGCGTACAGCAATTCTTTTCATTACCGTCACCAAGATAGCAGTCGCCAATTATCTCACATACACCACAAATGACAGAATTGAAATCTCTTTTCGTTCTATAGGACATCTACCATATATTGAATTTCTGATTTTTGTGGTTTTTTAACCTGTGTTGATATAAATACTATATATTTAGAACTATATGCTAAGTTTTCCAACTACTATTTTGGTGGGTAGTCTGACTTTCACTCCCATGAGATCATCAGACAGACTAATGTACTGTCAAACAAAATTGATTGAAAGCTCTTTTCAATAAAATCTAACTTTACATGCTTATTCAGTGACGATAGAAAGGGGGTGAGGTGTACTTTACTTTTCCGAAGAAACGGTCTTGTGTATTAAGTTTTTTGGCAACTAGTAAAAAGCGTTCTATGAATTGTTTAGCGCAGAAATTATGCCATATGCCATTTTTCCTGGAATATCATTAAGGTGTGGTCTCAAATTTTTGCCAAAGTCAGTTTTGCCAAAGTTGTAGATTGCATGATTACGATAAAGTCTACTCCTACTTATCTTTAAAGGAGCTTCAATAATCTTTTCAAAGATAACATTGTAAAAGATTATAACTGTTGAATTTTGATAAATGAAATCTAAAAATACCTGTTCCAGTTTAAGCAACAAAGCTCTTAGCTTGGCTTCAATGATGTTTGTTATAGGAAAACCCTCTTTCATCTGTTCTCTCCATTCCAGTAAAATGGCAAGGGAAACAAGAATCTTGCTGTGAATGTTGAATAAGCCTGGAATAGTAAGCTGCATTGTTGAGATATGGGATTGAAACAAATCATGTACTGTCATTGTGATACTTTCCCATCGTCCCGGGTCACTGATTTATAGTAAAAATTCTTTGGATTATTCTTGAATTATTCTTGAATTATTCTTAAATTTCAGCGATTTTGAGCCTTACTATTCTTAAAGACTATATTCTTTTAAAAATTGTGTTGTTACTATTCTATACTATTCTAGTAAATATGAAATAGAAGAAAAATACCGAGCTGATACGGAAATAAGTGGTTTGTAGCTCCACATGACGGATTAGTGCATTTCTTTATTTTGATGGCACATTTCTGAAGGGAATGGTGGTTTGTTAATAAATACCCGTTGCCAAGCGAAGAATTACTTCCTTGCTGATAAAGAGATTTGGAGAGAGCAGAGTTGCAACGAAAGCAGGTGCTATGCAAAGGCTCAAAAGTAACCAACGAAAGTTTGTCATAAATTATTTCGTCTGCTTTGTTAATTATGTCTACTGGAATGATGTACGTGATTTCTAGGGCCATATGGAGCTGCAAGGTTGCGGATCGGTCAGAACTGCAGTTTTCGAGATATTGTCCCCACAGCTTTTTGTCAGAAGGCTCTGCTCCCTCAAAGTTGATATCATCGCTTTGTTCCATGATTTCTGGTGTGTTGGACATGCTGTTGCCTCCATTCTTTTTCATCGCCAAAAGTGCTGAGTGTATGTGTAGACAAATCCTGCACCTCCTCACCTGTAAAATGCAAATTTTGTGAGAATAAAAGCTGATATAATCATCTTCATCTTTTTCATATTCATCATCATTATTATTATCATCATCATCTTTTTATTCATCTCGCTTACCATATTCATGCTTTCCATCAGCAGCAGCAATATGAAGATTGCCATTATAATGAAAATTTTACATTTCAATTCACGGACGCCATAGTTTCTAACCACTCTTTTGAATAGATAGGAGGCACGTAAAATAGCTAGCCTGGATATATAAGAAAAAGTATATCAATTGAAACTGGGGAAGAAAAGGCTGAAAAGAGCAGAAAACAAATATGTATAAAGTTTTTGAGATATGATACTGTTTGTATTATTGATCTATAGAGAGGAGAATCGCAAATTTGGATGCATTTGTTGCAAAAATTGCTGAATATTTTACTAGGGCTCATGGAAGATTCGCAAATAGGGCAGGGTGTTGGAAATTGATTACAGTGTGATTTAGGTAAGAGAGGGGGCATATTTGTTGTGTTACCTGTGTTAGATTATTGTCATGATTAAAGACTATCCGAAACAAGAAATTATCAATTACCTGTTTTGTTTGTCCTTGCTTTTTGCTGCAGCTGGTGGACATGCACTTAAGTGTTTGCTTTTCACCAGTGTTAAGGCACATCACATGAGGGTAACCAATTGGGTTGCTTGCCGATACCTCACCTTTAACAGCAAAACTTTTTTCAAACACCTTGACAACTGTTGGCCATCCTTCCTCTTGAATCCGTTTCATACATGTTTGGATATCCACATCTGGAGTAAAATTTTTTATGTCTTCATCCGAGAAACTACTACAGTACAACGGCTCGATTTTAGGTGCTTTCAGGTGGTCGCAAGAAAAGTCTTCCATTTTACCACTTATGACATAAGTTGCCCGTAATCTCTTGCGCTTTACCTGGTAGCAAAGCCTCTGCTTTGGATCTACACAATCAATGACAAATTGCCTTGTGTCTCTATTGCTTGTCTGTGCTGAATAGATAGTTTGCTTTGGTTCATCCATTGTCTCGTAAATTTTTACTGCATTGTACCCTGATCCTTTTTTGGCCCGTTTCTGGTCTTTCTCATAACTCCCCCCAAGATGTTGGCCACAGTCGCAAAATTTTGGCTTATGCCTTGTAGGGTATTCCAGTCTGCAAGCATGGCAATGCCCATACCATCGTTTTGTGGGTTATTACAATGTAGACATTTAAAGAAAGTTCATTAGCGTAAGCGATCCTTGGTTGATACAGTGCAATCGAGGAATGAAAGTTTCAAGCTGAAAACTGTATAAAACAATACACGGAAATCAGATTTGCCAGCTATTGACACATTACAATATTCTAAAAGGCTCATAAGAGAGGGGCCCATGTACGCCCCCCTATAAACTATTTTTGTAAAGCAATAGAGCAAAATGTTGCAAAATCTTCTGGCATGGGTTTTCGATTTGCGCTTAGCCTCCTACTTTCCAACAAAGGCCAAGATACAGCTTTTTGTTTGGGGGGAGGGGGTCAAGCCCTGAAAAATTAGTGTAACAAGAGCCATATTTCTAATCACGTCAAGGTCCTTGAATTTGGTTTCTAAGTAGAATCATTTAGGTCGCTGAAAGGTTACGGAGGTCCTGGGCAGAACTTAAAAGTGACGAGAAATAAGACGCCCCTTACTAGACGAGAAAATTTTCATTACAATAGAATTTCAGAATATTTCTTGCAGACATTTTCATCTACTTTTTCATCTATTTTGTTCTGTTTGATCGATTCAATTTTCATTAATCTAGATGTAATTTACCCTTTACACCCTCTTTTTAGATCTTAGAAACTTAAACAAGAATGGATTATAACTTATGTACATCACAACAATCATTTTTTAGGAAATTTGCTTTTAAAAAACGAGCACTGGGCAGTTGGAAAGGTTAAAAAAACATTTAATTTTTAAAAGAACAAAAACTACAGAGTTTCGTGAAAATCCAACCATTTAATGAACTGGTTGGCATAAAAATTGAGAGAAAGAGAATAAAAATAAGCTATCCCCATCTAAGTACAGCATTAGAACGGAAGGGAATCTCTTGGCAGAAATTTCATAAGTATTTGTAAACAATAAAGACATCGATAGTTTGGGGGGGGCATTGCCGTCCAGTAGAGCATTTTTGCAATAGAGCTTTTTCGTTTCCCTTTGCCTCCACTGGCCAGACCCCTTAGAATGTTAAGACTTTCTTATAAAAATGAGTGTACAAAGTACAAATAAATGCAGCACATTATACCACCAATGCCAAGATAACTAACTATCGATGTGATCTATCCAATTTTTGTTGAACCTAACGGTTATAGTAGGTTTATGATGGTGTTGGTACATATCAATACCAATTTCAACACATTTTAGGTTTTTCACACAATATGGGAGCGAACAATATTCATTTGTCAGTGATAACAGGATCCCATCCCACTGGTGGTGATCTTCTTGTTAGAGCTGATCTTCTTCCATTACCCAAAAGTAAAAGTAAAGAGGTGATGGGTTCTGTTTGGAAAATATATTGTATACTCAAGCTGTTTGTATATTTGCTATTGTGATAGTTTCACAACTTGTTGAATTTACATTTTATATTTTATTAGTTTATTAGTTATATTAGTTTATATTTTGTGAAATCCCCTGGTGGTGAGATTGTATTCCACCCCTTACACATTTCCAGTATAACTCATGTTGGCATTGTTTTTTTTGCCTGACTGTAACAGGTGAATATAACATGTCTGATGAAAATACAATCTGGCTGTCAAGTACAAATATAATTAGAACCAGTTGAACTTAACAAATAATTTATAACATATGTTTCAGATATGGATGAAATTGTCTAGGGGATGCTTTTGATGAAAACATGATTCATTTAATCATATCTAATTTCCTTATTATTTTTCTCTCATCTAGATTATTCCTGTTAGGAAAAAGTAGCTGGATATACACGATATGTGAAAGGGAAATGAAAATAGCTCATATAGGTATACAAATAGCTTTTGAGCAACTATTAAAGTTAAACCTGACTTCATTCCCAGTTTCAAACTTTACAGAACCTCAATATGTAGATTGAGCTTTTTGAATTAAATAAAAATCTCATTGAGGATAACAACAATGAAAGACAAATATCCATCTTAATAATTATGGCAAGAAAATACACAATTTAAAGATAATTGTTTCTATTTATAAAACTTTTTGCTTAAACGAAATATAAGTAGCTCAACTATGGTAATATTAAACAGATAACTCAATTAAATATATTAATTAATGTAAAGGAATATGGGAAAGGGAGAAAAATTCCAAAATACACAGTATAAATTGCTATCTAGAACCATACTTTGGGATGATATCTAAGTTTTTTAAAATAGCTATATTCTTTATTTGATGATGATAGAATAAATGATGTTTATAGCAAATTGAACTTTCTATGAAAGCTAAGGATAGAAATAATATTCAGCAAGGGGAAGAAATTTAAACTCAATCAATTATTTGATCTCCATTACACTTGTTAATGATAAAATATCCATAATTATGGAATTATGGAAATTATGGAAAGATCTTTTAACCTTCAACTGGACCCCTATAAATCTTACCGATGTTGAGACAAAAACAGTGATATTAAAGGCAGTGACATTTGAGCCTTCCTGTTCTTTACACTAAAGCACAGTTCTTACAGCATATTTAAGGAATATCTATGACTTAGTTTACTGAGAAAAATAGTAGATACAAACATAAATTCAAATACTATCGTCATTAAAAAGATGAGCTAGATCATTTGTTCAAAATCATCAAATAATAAAATAGAATCTACAATAGATGTTCAATAAGGCATATTAATTATCTAAAAAACAAGTTAAATTAAATAAACAGATGTTACTACAATAAGATATACAAATCCTAACCTATATGTAGGGAATTTCTCGAAGGTGCAGTTCTTTCAATAGATAAACTAACCAAGGACAGAGCATCTCCTATGTGAAAATTTATACTTCATATGATCAAAATGATTTCTAAGATACGTTTGGGCAAGACGAAGAGGCGGAATTTTAACATCATTAACAATATTTGTGATAGTATTCAGTATGGTTTTCTTAAAAAATTTATCAAGTTTATGTCAAGCTAAGTGATAAGGAAGACTTTTCAGCGTTAGAGGTAAGGTAACCGTCTGCTTGACTTGATACCTACATAAGAGGGGCAAACTGTTTACAAAAGAATCAGTATATTCTGTTGAGGTCATGGAAAGCACAGTCAAAAAAGGTGGCCGACAGAACATAAACATAAAAGTTTGGTTGGGACAACACACCAAGGGAAGATGGAACCTACCATTTTACCATCGAATTTGATCATCTTTGAAATGATAGGCTATTTAAACTAGTCCAACAAATCAAATGTCTTCCACATCGAACACAATACAATGCTCCTATAACGATTTAACCATCGAATTTGATCATCTTTGAAATGATAGGCAGTTTAAACTAGTCCAACAATTTGAATTTTCATATCGGACATGATGATCCAATATATGTTTATATGTGGGTAGGCCTAATCATATTGTCCCGTCATTGCCATCCGCATTAACTAGTCCAACAACTTTCACAGCGAACACAGTGCTTACATAGACCATTTCGAGTGGCAATTCAGTTGCTATACAATTCAGTCAAAATTCGCATCTCCGCAAAGTAAAAGGATATCCATATACTTCCTTCTTTGCCATCCGCCATAGCTTCGTCTACATGTTATATCCAGATTTCGAGTGCGTAACGGACATTTGTAGCATTTACAACAGCTGCAAATGCAGCCAATTGGCGCCTCGGAAAATGTAGGGGACGACTATGTAGACCAATGAAAGCATTGGGACCCTCCGGTACCCTAGGAATTACCTAGAACGAAGACTAACCAATCAGACGCATTGTTACTAAAAGTTCTACAATACTGATAATAATTGTTGTCGTTGGGTCAACATTATTTTAGACACAGAAGATTCCAAGATTCAGCTTTTAAATGTCTCTGCCCCATGCCCCATAGGGGAAAGAACTGCCATTTTTTCAAATGCTGCCTCCTCACATCAGGGGGGGGGGAGTTCTAACAATCATCTGAGGCAATTTCAATTGTATCTTTAACCTGTATCTCGACAAACTAGGTGGTGACGGCCAAGCAGGTTCCACTGCCCTAGAAGCTCTAACCGACCTTTTGAAATCATTTAACCTTACTGATGCTCTTCGCTCAATGCACCAATCTGCACCCAAATTTACCTGGACCAATTCAACAGTTTCTTCTAGACTAGATAAATTCTGTTTCTTCTGAAATTTTGGCCAATACCAAACTCTGTGAAATAACAGTGTTCCCCTTTCCGGACCATCACGCCCCATTTCTGTCCTTCAAATTACCAAACTCGCCACCTTGTGGCAGAGGTACCTGGAAATTTAATACTAGCTTTCTTGAAAATGAAGAGTTTACTTGTAATATGAAGCACTTCTTGAAATTTTGGGTCACTTGCAAAAAAGACTTTGAAGGTAAATTCCACATTTAGTGGAACATAGGAAAAAAGAAAAAAAGGAAACCGTTGCAAAAAATTTTCAAATTACTTAGCTAAAGAAAAAAGAGAAAAACGCACAGCCCTGGAAGAAAAATTTTAAAAAGCGTCAATTTCAACTAATGAAAGCAAAAAAGAAACAATTCCCCTAATTAGGAAAGGAATCAAAGAACTAGATCTTAACAACATTAATGGTGCAAGCATCAGAGCAAAAGCCCTTGAATATCAATCAAATGAGAAATCCTTGCGCTATTTTTTCAGCCTTGAGAATTCAGGTCAATCTAAAAAAGTGATTCCTAAGTTAAAAACACCCGATGGTGGAGTAATACAGGATAGTAGGGACCTGCTTGGCTGCATTGCTAACTTCTACGAGTCCCTCTATTCCCCTGAACCCGTTGATAATGAAAAACAGAATTTCCTCCTGAATACTATTGATCGTTTTGTCCCTGAAAACTTTAAATTGTTACTTGAGGAACCACTTTCCACAGACGAATGTCACAAAGCTCCTACTAAGATGAAATCAGACAAATCTTCTGGCTCTGATGGCCTACCAGCAGAATTTTATAATTTCTTCTGGGATGAAATTGGGGAAGCCTTAGTAGAAGTACTAATTTTTTGTTTTAATAAAGGCCTCCTCATTGAATCCATGCGTTTAGCTATAATCTCCCTCTTGTACAAAAAGGGAGATATTGAACTCCTAAAAAATTGGAGACCTATTTCCTTACTTAATGTAGATTACAAAATAGGCTCAAAAGCCTTGGCAAACAGACTGCAATTGATACTACCATCCGTCCTAAATAATGACCAAACTTGCTCTGTACCAGGCAGGTCGATATTTGAAATTCTTATGCTAGCAAGAGATTCCATAGATTATTGCCAGGAGAAGAAACTTCCTCTTGCATTGATTAGGCTTGACCAAGAAAAAGTCTTTGACCGTGTAAACTGGAACTTTCTTCTAAAAGTCTTGCAGAGAATGAATTTCGGCCCAAAATTCATGTGTTTTATAAAAACCATGTCTACAGATGTTTCGTGCCAAATTAATAACAATGGCCAACTTTCTAGAAAAGTGACGCTTAAGCGTGGAGTAAGGCAAGGCTGCCCACTGTCCCCTCTACTATATTGCATAGTAGTGGAAACCTTGGGCAACCTCATCCGCCAAAACCTAAAAATCGATGGTCTCCATCTTCGTGGTTTACTAAGGGAAGTTAAAATTTCCCAGTACGCAGATGACACCACCCAATTTCTAAAAAAAAAATTTTCTGTCCAAGAAGCCATAAAAATGTACGCATTAGGCTCCGGCTCAAAAGAACAAATGAACTACGATATTGGCAAGTCGTGCTGAAAGTGGTTCAACAAGCCTCTGTTTTTTTCTGCCTCTCCGCCTTCCCCTCTAAAATGGACTTAAAATGCCCTTGAAATACTAGGCCTAAAATTTGGCACTCAAACAGTCATCGAGAGCTCTTGGATAAAACGTGTCAAAAAATTGACTAACAGGCTTGAAGCCTGGAAACACCGGTCCCTTTCATTAAAAGGAAAAACCCTCATTGTCAATACAATTGCTCTTTCTGGCCTCGTCTTTGTAGGAACAATTTACCACCTCCCTTCGGCTATAGAAAAACAAGTTAATCGAGCTATTTTTCAATTTATCTGGGCTGGCAAAAATGAGCTAGTCAGCAGGAAGAAAATGTTTCAACCCGCAGATAAAGGTGGTCAAGGTGTAGTTGCTATACACCTAAAAACTAATGCTCTTCACCTCAAGTTTCTCCAGTCAATTATCGATGCAAACTATGACTCTCCTTGGGTATATTTCGCTTGCTACAATATCAGTTTCCAACTTTTCAAATACTTTCCAAATGCAAAATCGGTCCAATTTACTTCCTCATGCCTTAACCCCAACCCCTCACTACACTCGTCTTCTCGCTCTATGTAATTTGTTTAAAAGTGTTGTTGTATCGTTAAGTGCCGTGGGCACACGTGTATATACTATTTACTGCAGCATTCTCGACTCGGTCTACTCCGGCATTTTGCCGGCCCTGGCATAGCATACTGCCCTCGCGAAGCCACAATAGTGGCAAATCCCATGGGAGCACATTCTCTCCCGCCTTTCCCAAGGCCCTGAAGATGACGTATTATGGACAATTTATCATCTGGTCCTGAAAACAGCAAGTTACTTAAAAAGCTGGGATCTGAATATTCTCGAAAATTGTGACCAATGTCAGCAAATCAAAGACATTAATCATGTCTTCATAGACTGCCCAATTGCAGTTGCAGTCTTTGCGTCCCTGCAGCCGATTTTCGAACAGCTGCTCGGCACATTTCCTGTGCTCCCCTCCCTTGCCATATTCTTTGAATTCCCGAATGGCATCAACCAGAATGCCAAAACTCTCTGCCATTGCCTACTAAAAGTCACTCTGCATTCCATATGTGATGCACAAATGTGATCGCCGCTTTAAAAAAAGCCCCCCACCCTCTAGGTGTTGTTTCTTCTATAAAAGCCACTATTCGAAACAGAATTAAGTTTACCATGTCCTCTTCTTCCATATTTGCTAAAGAATTCCCCATATGGGCTTATAACGATGTCCTCTGCAGCTACCAAAATGGTATGCTCTCACTCAAGATTTAGTGATTCAATTAACCTTTTTTATCTGTCTAACGCTCTATTATATTATCGTAAACAAAAAAAGGAACAATCTCTGCCTGAAATTCTCTCCTGTAGTCTCTGTAACTTCCATTAAACGATTAGCGTTATATTTTCAGTAGATGGTAATGTTTGAATTGTCTGTTAATCGTATAATTGTCAATAATTCTGTATTTTAACCATTTGTCTGTAAAAATTATCCTGTCGCCCCCCTCTTTTCGCATAATTGCAAAAATTATCATGTCAAGTAAAATGTTGTAGTCAAGGAGGACTTCTGCACAAAAGGGGCAGTTGTCTCCCTTTAAATTGTCACGTAGATCTTAAATGATCATGATTGTTATACCAGACCCTACTGTGTCATCAGAGGGCAGGAATTAAAAAAAGTATCTGTTCTAACAAGCTTAATATTTGATATGCGCCCAAGGGCGCTCAAATATTAAACTGATTTTTGGAACTAGCTTGTCAGCATGGGGCTTGGCTCACTGGGAGCACAGGTTGCCCTGGCATTGCAGTACAGCCATGGGTAGCCCAGCCCTTTTTCATCAATTGGCAAGAAAACAACGATTTTCACATTTTCACAGTTGCAATCATTCAAGTCCATATTGTTGATATGACTGGCTAACTACAATGTTAACTAGGAGCTAGCTAACATTGTATGTAGTTGGTTGCTTTTGCAAAGTTTAAGTAGTTTAAACCTTGTACTAGACATATTTATGATTGTTAATCAAATATACACAGACTGCGAAGCCTTCAATGTGTTGTGTTTTTGTGTTCTTCTGTTCTTGCCTTTTTGCCTGCCTGTCATTTCTAGCTACCCCTTTTTGTGTGCTCAAAAATTCAAGGCTTATTTTCAATATCAGACGACTGCTGGCTGACTGAACATTCTTCACTCAATATTCAACATATCGATCAATTGGCTTGTTTCTGCAGCAGCTGAGTTGTCAATAGCCAAAATGGTAATTCATACTTACCTGACGGGGAAGACACATGGTCAAGAAGGCGTAGCGGCCGGTCACGCTTTTTCGAGCTCCTCCTCGCTGGTTTTTTGGCGTGTTTTAGCTCGGTTTACAATCTTAAATTGTTATTGCACACCTTCTTTAATAAATTTGTTATCCTGTGGAAAGTTTTTTTTCAACGATATTGTTTGAAATGGATGTGGAATCTACACTTTTTATATGGGGAGATGCACCAGAGGAAAAGAAAATTTCATTTGCGGGAAGGCTGAAACAGTCCAATGCGAAAATTTCTACAAACGACCTCGCTGCTCGTGCTGCCAAGTTTGAGACTGGAGATAACATTACCTTTCGTGAAATTATCGTTTATTTCCACAAATCCCTCAGCGATACCAATTGTGTCCAACAACTCATGGCCGTGCCCTCCATGCCTGGGCGGCAGAAATGGAACATAATTTTCTCTCGTGCTAGGATGGTGGACAAGGTCATGGAGAGTTTCTTAAAGTTTCCTACAATGCCGGAGGAACAAGTTTTTTTCACTCCTGTCAGAAGAAGGGCACTCTTAATAACTATTCCAGACGCCTCTCCAGACATCTCTGATGATGAAATTCGATTCGAACTGGAAAAGCACGGTACCGTCCAAAGAGTGTGGAAGCAAACATGGGAGGGTTTTCCTAATATATTTAATGGTAAAGGTTGTCAACTATTTACCCATCCGGCTGTAAAGAATTACCTCCCTTTATACTTATCCGCAACCGAAAAATTTCGCTTTCCTTTAAGGAAAAAACCAGTCTTTTGTAACATATGTATGAAAGACTCCCATCGATCAGGAGACTGCCCTTCACGAAATGTCAAACACTGCTACCTTTGCGGCTTGACAGATCACGAAAAGTCCAAATGTGAAAAGTTTGTTCCTCTTAAACCTGCTCGAGGTAGAACACTGCCAGGAGAAATCGATGATGATGAAGAATCAGTTTCCTCCGATATCAGTTCTGATGCAATGTCTGATGAAAATGAACCCGAAAAAGAACCTGAAACCCCAGAAAAACCTGATGAAGTGAACGGAAGAATCCCCTACAAGCACCGAAACTAAAGAACCTAAACCTACAACATCAAAAGAACCAGAGAACAAACATCCGTCTGTCTTTCCTCCATTCAAAAAAGCCACCAAAAGAGCTATCGTCACAACCCCAGAGAAACAACCTAAATCAACCAAAGTCAAACCCAAACCAAAGGACAATGTTAAGTAAACCCTCCTTTATCTTACTCTAAGCTAACAAAATTATTACTTTTCGTAAAATTTACTTTAATTTTTCTCATGGCTTGTGTTGTGAGTATTAACGAGAATAGGTTGAACGACGCCCGTCGCTCAGATTCAATCTTACGTCACCTTTATAGCCTTAAGCCTGATATTTTATTCTTGCAAGAAACCCACCTTAATCCTGTTAATGTTAACAATGTATTTTCACAATGGCCCGGCACTTCCTTTCATTCCTTTGGTAAAGAAAATAGAAAGGGTGTCTCTATTCTAATTTCTGATCGATTGAAAACTACAATCCATTCACGTCATACTTCCGACTCAGGCCATCTAATTGTTCTCGATCTTTCAATCGATGACAATAGATTGATCTTAGGCACCGTTTATGCTCCCACAGGCGGTCTCGACGGCATTGCAAATCGTCAGGAATTTTTTAATGAGCTCACCAAGGTGCTAGAAAATTTTTCTCAAGACCTTCCTATAATTTTAGGAGGTGATTTTAACTGTGTTTTAGATCCTGTGGATCGCTCTAGCCCCGTAACTTTTGTTGAAAAAACACTTCAAGGAATTTTAGCGACATCTTCAATAAACCTCGCATAAACCCTCAATTTCTCAGCCCCTAAACGCGGGCCACGTATATGGCGATTAAATATTTCTATTTTGGAAGAGCAAGAATTCATCAGCTCCATTAATAAATTTATCACCAACTGGGAACAATCTCAAGAGTCTTTCCCCTCATTAACCAGATGGTGGGAACATGGCAAAAACACTTTTGTTGACATTGCAAAAACATATTCAAGAAACCAAAAGAAACAACTTCTCCGAAAAAAATCCAGATTGCTCAAACAATTCAGAAATGCGAAAAAAAGGCAGAGAGTTCAGGGGACCCCCGATTCCTGAAGCTTTACAAAAACATAAGCAACAAAGTTCAATCCCTAGAAGCCTCTGTAGCTGAGGGGGTGAAAATTAGGTCAAAAGCTTAATTGTCCGAACAAGGCAAATAAATCACAAGATATTTCTGCTCCCTTGAAAAGAAATGACAAAGCGACCGTACAATGAAATCAATAAAAGATTAACACAATAATTCCATCTCTGACCCGACCGAAATAGTCAATGTAGTCAAAGAATTTTATGCTTCTCTCTATTAAGAAGAGCCAGTCGACTCAAACCTTTAGGATACTCTTTTACAAAAAATAAGTAAACGTCTTTCAGAAACTGAGAAAAACATTTGTGAACACCCCCTTACTCTCGAAGAAGTAAACACTGTCTTAAAAACTATGGTCAATGGTAAATCTCCCGGAATAGATGGACTACCGTGCGAATTTTATAAATTATTTTGGAAATCTCTCGGTAAAAACTTCTTAAACGTAATTAACTCTTGCTTCGACAATAAATCCCTTACCCCCTCTCAAAGAATTGCCTTGGTTTCTTTCCTCTTTAAAAAAGGCGACAGAGAAAACATTAAAAACTGGCACCCCCTTAGCCTCTTAAATTGCGATTAGAAAATATATGCCAAAGTTCTGGTAAATCGCCTTTCGATAGTCCTAACTAGCATTATAGAAGAAGACCAAACTTGCTCTGTTCCCGGCCGCTCAATTTTAGGCAATTGCCATGCTGTACGAGACATTATTCAATTCTCTCAAAATGAAAATCTCCCGGTCGCTCTATTATCTTTTGATCAAATGAAAGCCTTTGATTGTGTTAATTCACATCGCGAACTACGAAAAAGCCTCTGGAGCTAAACTAAACAAAGATAAAAGTGAAGGCCTCTGGCTTGGTAGCTTTAAAAACTGCCTCAATCCTTGGCTGACGTAAAATTTGGTCCTCAAAAGTGCCCGGTCTATCTAAAACTGCCCTGGATCGGTAAGAGCTCCCTACGTTTTGAAAGCCAAATAAAACAGGCCATAACAAATTGTTTCTTCGCGGTTAACCCACGTGTTGTTTACAGTACAAAAAAGGCCCTTCCGTCCATTCAAAAGGACTGCTTTCCTGCCACAAAAAAAAGTTCTGTTGTGTATGAATTCACGTGCCAGTGTGATTCTGGCTACGTAGGACGCACCACCCAAAGATTGGAGGATAGGGTAAAACAACACGTTCCATCTAATATTAGAAACAAAACACATCCCCAAAGAGAACAGCCACCTTGGTCTTGCAAATCCAAAATTACTAATAAAACCTGCGATTCTGCTATCGGGCAGCATTTGCTAGAAAACCCAGATTGTGCAAAAAACTATAATGGCGACATGTTTCGGATTATTGGTAAAGCCTGATCGTCGTTCCACCTAGCAGTTTTAGAATCTATCTACATAAGCACGAAAAAACCGCTACTGTGTAGACAAAAGGAGTTCGTTTTCACCTTAGGACTCCATTGGTAACATTCTAATAGGCAAGCGGCACTGATTGGTCAACCTTTACAGTCATGTGCTCGTGTTTATGATTGGCCTTTTTCGATCCACAACTGGGTATATATATTTCTTAGCGTAGAGTTTTCGATCTATGTTCTGACGTTTTAAACTCTGAAGAGTGTCAGACGAAAAGCTTTAGTTTACTAAATGTTTGCTTTTTTCAAAGCTATTTACAAGTTTTGTACCACCAAAAGATTGTTTGCGTATTACTAGCACTATAATATATTTTATATGAGTGAAGCCTTATATTTTATATGTCTCTTTTATTCTATGGACATCATACTCAAATTACTTTATAATTCCTTTTAGGTCTACCTGTTTCCAACTGTCCATCTTTACTGGACACGTTTCCAAAGTAAAGCCCTAACAAAACTCAAAGCTGGTCACAAAAAAGTTGCTATTTCCGGAGATGGTTGTCATGATAGTATGGGACACTCTGCCAAATACTGCTCTTATACCATATTCTGTCATACCGAACCATCATCAATCATACATTTTGAATTGGCACAAGTAAGTGTGCAATATAACATGCAATTGCATACTACAATATGATATGATGAAGTATTATATACTTGTGTTATTTGTATTCAATACTATTGACGGAAACAAAGGAAGTTTCTTCTCTTTTGTAGACCATAAAACTGATGTATTGTGGAGCCCATACACTCTCTATCACTTTTGACAATCCTGTAACCAGAAGAAATATTATCCCATTCATAAAATATGTTTTAAATCCTTATGGTTTCTTCAACAGAGAAACGAAGTTGGAAGTAGCCAAGCCATGGAGTTTCATGCTTTCAAAAAAGCACTAGAGTTCCTTTTGAATAGCGGGGTTCGTGTGTCCCATTTTGTTTCGGATCGTCACTTGGCAATACTTGCCTGTATGAAAGAAAATCACAAAGACATATTGCATCAAATAGATCTATGGCATTTGAAAAAAAGTAGGTTTATTGTTATTTTGTGGCTGTTTCATAATTAAGGGAGTTGACAATAAAGTTGTTTAAGTTGGATATAGTTTCGTTTTTAATCAGTTTCTTTGTACTTGAAAAATGTTATATTGTATGTGTCAGAAATGTAGAACTTGATAGCAACATTGCTTCTTAGAAGATTCCTACATTACTTATAGTAAGGAGAAAGTTGCAAAGAAATGTTATATAAGCATAATGCCTGATAAATTTTATTTATTTACAGAAATTCGGAAAGTGTTTACAGGCATTTCCAGAAAAAAAGACTGTGAGATTGTTGCAGAATGGATCCAGTCTTGTTTCAATCACCTGCATTGGAGTGTCACTAGCACACATGAAGGAAATGGTGATGTCATCGCTGCAAAATTCTCCGTTTTTTAGGCCATATAATTAATAAGCACAATAATCTGCCAAATCCTCTCTTCAACAAATGTGCACACAAAGACTTGGGTGAAAAGAAATGGCTTGAAGAAGGTGATTTTTATAATTGCATTTTTTTTAACTAATTGGATGGTACTTTAATAAACAGAAAATTTTAAGCTGTAATAATGCCACATTTTTTTTAAATTTGATACATACAAAGGTCTCAGTCAGCTTAAAGTGTTTTTCAAGATTCTCTTGTTTTTGCATTATGTGTTATTACAAAACAATATATTTAGACTTCTCATATAATATTTTTAGATTCAGTTGCATATGATTATGTAAAAAAGGCAATTCTTGATAAACGGCTGCAGAAAGGAGTAAAAATGGCGTCAAGCTTGACACAGACAAGCTATCTGGAGGGATTTCATTCTGTTCTGAATCATTTTGCCCCTAAAATGATTGCCTACTCTCACAGTGGAATGTACTGCAGGTGAAATCTTTATTCTATGTTGTAATGTTAGCATCATGTACCCATTGCCTAAAATGTCACAGAGCAAACCGCTAAGAGGTGACTTAAAGTCATAACTGGCAAAAAATTATCACTGGCCTTACAATTATTACAATTGAACTCTGGATTGGATCTAAAGGTTAAATGTGGCATTTGTTAAATGTTAAAGGTTAAATGTGGCATGTGATTCTACATTTTTCCTCACCATTAAAGCAAATATTTGTTGAAATAACCAAATCTGGCATGCACAGAGACATGTTACCAGATCAAGAAATTTGCAAAGATCAATTGTATTGTTCTTTATTTCAGAACTGCTCTTGCAGCCATTCACTTCAACAATAATTTGAAGAGACAAGTGAAATTTACCAAGGACGGTAATCAGAGTCAAAGTTCTGTGGCCAAAATTCAAAAATGGCAAAGCTGTTGTCCGTGATGTTGTGGTGAAACAGAACTTTGGTACGCCAATAATTTGGATTTCGAAAAGGGTTTAAATGTCAACGTGATACAACAAACTTGTGATTATCACAAGCTTAACTCCTAATCCCTGCATTTTTTGACATGGTTTTATGATCATTCAGTAAAACAACTCTCATTATAACAATATTGTTTCTATTTAGCTTTTTTGATTCCCCTCAGAGTTATTTAAGTTGGTATTACACTATATTATACACATGTCTATACTATAAGATACTTAGCATACTGTTTGAAAGACTCTAGTGGAATATTTGCTACAGAAAGGAGATGAAATACTGAAAATGAGTAGCACAGAATTATGTTGAGAAAAAATGAAATAAAACACCAATACAAGCCTTCATCAGAGAGAAAGAACACTTTCCCTCCTTCTTTAATGCTTCCATTTTTTCAACTCCAGTGGGTTTTAAGTTAAGAAAAGTTTAAAGACCTGTTTTGTATTTTTTATTTATATTCTAGGGTACATAGATGAGTTGTTTAAAGTATTTATAAATGCAAGTGAAAACGAGTTGGCAAATGCCAGAGAACAATTAAAGGGACTCTGTCCACCACCGATGAATGTAATGTTGGAAAAACAGCCAAAGGATCAGGCAGTGGCCAAACATTATGCACGAAAATTGATGAAAGTGCCTAATGTACAAGGTGTGTATTTAATTGCTTGCACATTTGGTAGCTTTGGTTTGTTTATCAGTTGGTGAAATTTGAGTGATTATTATTCGTGATTTAACAATATAGAAATGTTTTTAAAAACTTATATGTCATGTGAGAAACAAATTTTATTACTCTTATCTAGACCTCCTCACTTTTCAACAATTTGTTATGTTTCTTCCTTTGAAAATATAACAAGGCTTGCAAATCTACCTCTAAACAGTGATTTTTGCTTTTATATTGCTGGTTGAAGTTGATAGAAAACCATAAAGGCCAGCTGCTCAGTTAAGATCCGAGAGCAAGTGATTTTGAAAATGAGGAAGACAACACCATCTGGTTTTTAAAAACAACCATCAAAAATAATTACATTTAAGTTATTTTTCTAGGTACTGGCAGAGAAGCAAGCAAAATTAAACAAAGACAGAAGCCAATGTGCAAGAAGTGCAGTGTTCCGATGAAACAACATCACTGTCCATTTAAATAGTTTTTTCAAATGAACTTGTAACTTTATGCCAGATCTTGTTCATAATTTTTATAACCACAAAATGTCTTTCCATATTCTAATGGGAACTGTCTTCGAATTTCAGCATAAACACATGAGGATAAAGGATTTCTTTTCTTCCCTAAACGGCCATAAACCATTCGTGCAAATGCCCTGTAGGATATACTTCTTAGGAACCTATAAAATAGCATAAAAAGTATATTAGAAGCAATTTCAAAAAATGATTGTGACCATAAAGGAATAACAAATCTTCTGGAGTAGTGCTCTACTTTTTTTAATTTTCCTTTAAATGTTGTGCCACTCTCGACTGGCAAATAAATGTAGTTCCTTTCTAATAAATCTTACATTTTCATAATATTGCCTGTTAAAGAAATTGACTCATGTTAACAGATAGTTAACTGATTAAAATCTGTGAAAATTCAGAGGAGGTGAGGCTAAAATTAAAATCTGAGAGTTGTAGATTCAGAGAGTCTATTTACATCCATGTACTTTTTGGTGTTTAGTCTTTTGAATCTCAACAGTCTTTAAATTTGCATAAATGTGATATTATTGATTCTTCAATAGATGAAACAATTGAGAAGACATGAAATAATTCAAATTGCTGTTGCAAACATACTTATTCTCTGTTCCTTTTTGCCAGTAAGAAGTGTAATCCTTTGTTTTGAAAGATGGTGCTGCCATCCTAAGGCTCCACTTCCCCAGACAAACTGGTGTGAAACCTGGGTGTTCTGTAATGCAAGAAGGCTCCCTAGATGTGTCTTCAAGCACCATCTCACTTCTTAGGGACTCCTTGCTCTTCTCGATTTCCTTGCAACACAAGCATTCTTCTGCATTTTGAACCAGCTGGACTGTGCAATGTCCACATTTGCACCTGTAATTACAATTAATCTGTGAAACAAGGTAAATAGCTCCTATATATAATTGCCAAGTAACCTGCATTTCATTAGCCCAAACATAAAGACTTCACTTTCAAAAAAATATTTTCCATTGTGTAACATTGGAGGAAAATTTGAAAATGGAAATGGCCCAAAGAAATGCCGTAATGCCCAGAGAAAGATCAAAAATTCCATTTGACACAGTCCAGTGTTGTAAGACATTAAAAAAACATTAATTTGTGGATTAATTGACGGAAATTTTGTAATACTTATTTGGTTTGTTTTTGAAGAATTGATTATTCACAGAAATTTATCAGTTTTCAAAGTCTGTAAAAATTGTAACTTTCGGTTGCACCACAAGGACGATGGGCCTAGATTTCGTCAATGAAAACAATCGGTTTTTCAACTTGCTAATACTAGGAAACTGTTTTGAATATTGAACCTGGGTCGTAACGGAATATAGAGCACACATTTTGAAAGCTGTAAATGGTATTTATTCTTTTTTACATTGGTAACAGTCTTTTTATTAGCTTTATTCTGACAAAGTGCACCAAGAGGGCGACGCCACTCTACGTAACTAAAAGATCAATAAAATTGATAAGTTCAGTTGAAAATGATTTTATTAAATAAACAAAATGATTACCATTCTGAGATGTCCATCTTCCTTTCGAATCGATCGGATAACGTTTTAGCCATGCATCACGCTCGGCATATGCTACGCGATATTCTTGTGCGAATGTTTCGTCGGCTGGAGGATCATCGGCACATAATAGGCCTACCGCCAGTTCATCATCCGGAGCTCTATCTACGTTGCTCGAGCATGGGTCTTCATTGGTTCCCCTTCGAATTCAGTAGAAGCTATATCTTCCTCACAATCAGTAGTAGCTTCTGATGAAATGTTGGATGAATCCGAACAACTATCACTCATTTTTGTTTGGTGAACCTCGCGTTAATTTCGGCAATTCAATATCAAATTGTGATTTGTTTTGATATTTGTCTCACGTGTGTTCCTGGGTAGACGTCATTGGTTTCCAGGCCCTGAAAGCCCGGTCGTAAACAAATTCGTTGGAAACAAAAAGGCTTGGGGAACACCCATTGTGCAATAAAAAGTTATTTTTTTTCACTCACGCATCTTTGACTGACATATCCTCACAGAAAATTAAATAAAAGAATTTTGGTAGAGGTGCACTTTAACCTCAATGGATTAGTTTTTATCGGGTGGCCATCTTCTACTCTTCACTCACAATGCAGTTTCCTTCCTTTACCAACTTTCTTATCAAAACCAAACCCAGAGTGAGCCTCTATCTATCTGTCAATAAAAATACACAGAGATGGTTGATGCAAATCTCAAGCAAACCTGTCTTCAATTCAAATTTAAATTCGAATTCATTTAATGCATCGAAATATGTTATAAAAGTTTGTCTATAATTATACTAAATAGCAATAATCAAGAAGCAATGATAAGAGCGTCATAGTGTCACTTAGCAATTGAGAATTAGAAACTTGGTAAAATCAATTGACAAAGTGAAAGTCAGAACAATTCAAGGAGAAATTGAGGCAAGGATTACTGTATTATTGCAAGAAGATTCTTGGGCCTATGAAAATCTGCATGGCCTATTTTTCACAATTCCAAATCAAATACTTTTTCTAAAATCATTCTAACAGCCATTTGTAGGGATGATTGCAAAACAGAGTTTTGTTTCTGTTTCCCTTACATGGTTTCATGGTTTGTTCTAATTGTTGGAATTCTCGGCAACCACCCCTCCCCCTCCCCAATACCCATTCTGAATGTTTTTGCAATTTTTGCAACATAAAATTCAAAATATTGATTTTTGGGACGTAAGCTTCAATAAGCTGGGCTTTCAGGGATTGTTCAATTCCCATTCTCCAAACCGACCGCCACAAGGGAAGCTGAAAGTTAAGTTTAATTTTCTTCCCAATGATAGTCCAGTTGTCTTTTTGCCTCCTGGGTCACGGGGAGGCTCGTTCATGAATAGATACTCACTCACCTCGACAACATTCTTCAACATCCACACATTGATTACTTTGCTGCTGGAGTGAAGAAGCAGCCACGCAGGCAGGCAACAGGCAAAAAAACTGAGCGCTCCGCAAGCAACGAGGTAGACTTGTGGAGAGTCTGAGCTATAGAGTCTCTACAAGCGGTGTCTATAATTCTTTTGAGGGGAAACCATGGCCGAGAGGTTGGCTCCTTATAGGAGCCGAGATCAAGGTCCCACAAGTGTCACAAAGGGCTCTGCTCCCTCAAGCGTTGCACGAATTACAGACCATTTTGAGCAAGACTCCACAAGCGATGGAGAGACAACTGACAAAGCCACAGAGAAGGTAAGACTACCACAGCACCAGAAAAGATTGAGAAAAAATTTACCTTTAGTACCAGTAAAGACAGCACCCTACCGACCATACACCATCGACAGCACCCCTTGGATCGTTGCCTACCAGCTACGCATCGCAAGCAGCAGCAGCCTCAATCTTAGAGATCTTCGTTGGTAGGTCGGTTGGCCTTAGAGAAAACCTGCCTAATGGAAGACGAAGACCGAGGTCAGTGTGTGTTCACACTCCGAATGCAATAATTGTTCCCTCTGCACTTGTCAACCGCCTTGCTGAGCATGACATCAGGCCCACCCACCTCCAGAAACTACTGAATGGTCACCTGGAGTTGACATTCAAGTCTCTGGAAGAAAAATAAAAGTTTCTTAGCCTGCCCAATGTCCATCTGCCCAGGAGAAGCTGGCAACCTAACATGTAAAATCCACCACAAGTCTGGGTAAGAGTATTCGCGTCCTGTTTGCCAGGGAAAACATAGGCCCTGATACAGGCTTACTTAATGGTGACTTGATATTTAAAATGGTAATTAGTGAACCTGTGCCGAGTTTTGTACACCTAGGCGCATACTGTTTAGCGGTACCCCAGTCACGCCGCAAATGCGACAGCTGTGGCCACATTGCTGCTCAATGCAGCATCAAAAGGTGCTACAACTGTGGCTTAACAGGACATATTAATGCTGACTGTCCCAAAGACAGTCGCTGTCAGGGTGGCAGATCACTTGAGCACAACATTGTTCAGTGTGATGCCGCTTGGGTTCCTGAAGCAGACAGTGATGCGCACGAGCCCACATCTGACCACACCCTGTCAGAGAGCTACAGCAGTGAGGAGGAAGATAATGATAGAGCTGTCAGAACCGCTGTGGCAAATAAGGACGCAGCCGTTCCTCACGATCCAACCCTCTCTGATTGCCCAACTGTTGCCACTCAAGATTCGGACAATGCGGAACAGTCACCAAACTGGTTTGAACACACAGAATGCACAGCTGGGAGTGCTGGTGCTGACCTGGCCCCAGAGGAGATAGCCGTTACCCATGTTTGCTCATCGCCGGGTGATGACATGGGTACCAAAAATCGCCAAATCGCTGCTCCTGAGGAGTCAGCTAGTATCCAGGACTCCACTACTCAAGACGAAAACGGCCAAGCAGTGAAGAACTGGTATGATCCAGCAACGCCTTCACCGGATGGTATGAGCCCTTCTCTGACTTTCTTTTCTCCTCAGCCTATTTTTACCAAATTCTCTGGCGATGCTGGCACCCCAGCGGCTTCTAAGAGGTCCTTCCAGGACGACAGTGTCTCTGACATTTCTGCTGTCCGGAGGCCCTCTACCAAGAAGAAGCCGAAGGGTCGTTCAGCTCGGCACCCTGCCCCCTCTTAACTCCAATGATTTTGGAACTCCCCTCCCGCTGTGAGGAATGCCAGCCATTGATATAATATCAATAAATGTTCATGGGCTTAGGGACCCGCTTAAATACTCAAATGTAGTGGACTGGCTCAAAACTAGGAAGGAATCAATATTCTTTTTGCAAGAAACTTACTTCTCTGAGGCTGCTATGTGGTAACATCCTTTCTTAAAACCATCTGGAAAGGATGTTACCACATAGCAGAGGTGTCACCACTAGCAGAGGTGTTACCACTGCCCCATAGGAGAAAGAGCTGCTTTTTTTCAAACACTGCCCGCTCACATCAGGGGCGCAGTTCCAACAATCATAGGAGGTGACTTTAATTGTATCACTAACCTTTTTCTCGATAAACGAGGCGGTGACAGCCAAGCAGGTCCCACTGCCATAAAAGCTCTCAATGACCTTCTCAGGGACATTAACCTTATCCATATATTTCGCTCAATGCACCCTTCTGCCCGCAAGTTTACCTGGACAAATTCAAAAGTATCATCTAGACTAGATAAGTTTTACGTTTCCCCTGATATCTTAGCCAATACCAAACACTGTGAGATAACAGTGTTCCCCTTTTCCGACCATGATGCCCCGTTTCTGTCCTTTAAACTGTTAAACTGCAACCCGGTGGCAGAGGTACCTGGAAATTCAATACTAGCCTCCTAGAAAATAAAGAATTTACCTCTAATATGAAACATTTTTTGAAATTTTGGGTTACTCACAAAAAAGACTTCGCAGGCAAACTACACATTTGGTGGGATATTGGTAAAATGAAAATAAGAAACAGATGAAAAAAGTTTTCCGAACGCTTAGCAAAAGAAAAGAGAGAGAAACGCACCACTTTGGAAGAAAAGCTCCAACGGGAAACAATTTCTCTGGATCAAAAGGAAAAAGAAACTGTTTCCTTGATTAGACAAAAAAATGGAAGAACTCGATCTTAATAATATTAATGGTGCAAAAGCCCTTGAAGACTAATCCAATGAGAAATCTTCACGCTATTTTTTCAGCCTTGAAAATTCACGTCAGTCTAAAAAAGTGATCCGTAAGTTTAAAACACCAGATGGTAGGGTAATACAGGAAAGTAGGGACCTGCTTGGCTGCATTGCTAACTTCTACGAATCACTCTATTCCCCGGAACCCATTGATAATGAAAAACAGAATGCCCTTTTGAATACTATTGATTGTTTTGTCCCTGAAAACTTTAAATTGTTACTTGATGAACCACTTTCCGCAGACCAGTCACAAAGCCCTCACCAACATGAAATCCGACAAATCGCCCGGCTCTGATGGGCTACCAGCAGAATTTTATATTTTCTTCTGGGATGAAATTGGCGAAGCCTTAGTAGAAGTACTAAACTTTTGTTTCAATAGAGGCCTTCTCACAGAATCCATGCGTTTAGCTATAATCTCCCTTTTGTACAAAAAGGGAGACATTGAACTCCTCAAAAAATGGAGACCAATTTCCCTACTTAATGTTGATTACAAAATAGGCTCGAAAGCCTTTGCAAATAGACTGCAATCGATACTTCCATCCATTTTAAATAGTGACCAAACTTGCTCTGTACCAGGCAGATCTATTTTTGAAAATCTCATCCTGCCAAAAGATTCTTTTGATTACTGCCAGGAGAAAAAACTCTCCCTTGCATTTATTAAAATTGACCAAGAAAAAGCTTTTGACCGTGTCAACTGGGACTTTCTTCTAAAAGTCTTGGAGTGAATGAGTTTTGGCCCAAAATTCATGTGTTTTGTGAAAACCATGTATACAGATGTTTCTTGCAAAATTAGCAACAACGACTATCTTTCTAGAAAAGTAACCCTTAAACATGGGGTAAGACAAGGCTGCCCATTGTCCCCGCTATTATATTGCATAGTAGCGGAGACCCTGGACAACCTCATCCGTCAAAATCTCAAAATTGATGGCCTCCGTCTTCCAGGTTCACGAAAAGAGGTCAAAATTTCCCAATATGCAGATGATACCACCCTATTTCTAAGAAATACTTTTTCCGTTGAAGAAGCCATAGCCACTATAAACTTGTACGAATAAGGTTCAGGATCAAAGGTGAATTATGATATTGGCAAATCCTGCGGAAAGTGTTTCAACAAGCCCCCATATATTTCCACCTCTCCATCTTCCCCTTTAAAATGGACCGACAGTGCTCTTGAAATACTAGGACTCGAATTTGGCACTCAAACAGCCCTTGAAAGCTGTTGGATAAAACCGGTCGAAAAATTGACAAACAGGCTTGAAGCCTGGAAATACCGATCCCTTTCGTTAAAAGGAAAAACCCTTATCATAAATACAATTGCTCTTTCTGGCCTCGTCTTTGTAGGAACCATCTACCATCTCCCTCAAATTAATCTTATTAAAAAACAAGTTAATCGAGCTATCTTTCAATTTATCTAGGCTGGCAAAAATGAACTAGTCAGCAGAAAGACAATGTTTCAACCTGCAGATAGGGGTGGTCAAGGTGTAGTTGACTTACACCTGAAAACCAACACTCTTCACCTCAAGTTTCTTCAGTCAATAATTGATGCAAACTATGACTCCCCTTGGGTATATTTTGACCGCAATATCGGTTTCCAACTTTTCAAGTACTTTCCAAATGCAAAATTTATCCGTTCCAATTTGTTTCCCCATGCTTTAACACCATCTCCACATTACACTCGTCTTCTCTCTTTGTCTAATTTGTATCAAGTTGTTGTTGTATCGTTAAGTGCCTCGGGCATATCTGTAAGTAATATTTACGGCAGCATTCTCGCCTCGGTCATCTCCAGCATATTGCCGGCCCTGGCATAAATACTGCCCTCGCGCAGCCACGACTGTGGCAAATCCCATGGGAACATGTTTGCTCCCGCCTCTCCCAAGGCCCTGAGAACGATGTCTTATGAAAAATTTATCATAGAGTCCTGAAAAAAACAGCAAGTCACTTAAAAAGTTGGGGTCTGAATATCCCCGAAAATTGCGACCAATGTCACCAAATCAAAGACATCAATCATGTTTTCATCGACTGCCGAATTGCAGTTGCAGTCTTCGCGTCCCTGCAGCCGATTTTCGAACAGCTGCTCGGCACATTTTCTGTAATCCCCTCCATCGTCATATTCTTTGAATTTCCGAATGGCATTCATCGGAATGCCAAAACTCTCTGCCGTTGCCTATTAAAAATCACTCTGTATTCCATCTGGAAGCATAGATAAGATTGCTGCTTTGAAAATTGTATAATCAAAACGTAAAAAGATGAACATTCTCAGCCTGAAATTCTCTCCTGTTGTCTCTGTAACTTCCATTAAACAATTAGCGTTATATTGTCAGTAGATTGTAATGTTTGAATTTTCTGTTAATCCTATAAAAGTCAGTAATTCTGTATTTTAACCATTTGTCTGTAACAATTATACTGTCGCCCCTCTCTTTTCGTAAAATTGTCAAAATTATCCTGTCAAGTAAAATGTTGTAGTCAAGGGGGACCTCTGCACAAAAGGGGCAGTTGTCTCCCTTTAAATTGTTACGTTATCTGTAAATGATTCTAAATGTTACACCCTGTCCCTACTGTGTCATCAGAGGGCAAGAAAGAAAAAAAAAGTATCTGTTTTTATCAGCTTAAAGACCCTGTGCTCCCCATGAACCTTTGCGAGCGCACAACACATCAAAATGTAAACACAGCACAAACTAGTGAAACGTGGTAATAACATGGCCGCTAACTATTTATGGTTGAACTCACGAGGAAGCTGAAGTCGTAGAAGGCACTGATGACTTCTCACTCGTAGAAGGCACTGATGACTTCTCACTTGAAAGTGTAAGAAGCGAGCAGCACGATTTGAAGGTTTGAAAGTTTAATCTTTGTTACCTGCCTTAATTGTTACTTGATATTCGTGATATTGTCGAGCATTCATACTTTATCTGGTGTTCTAAATTTGTTGTATGAACAGGCATTTATTTCTTTATGATTTCAGAGGCCTATTTGTTTTTGCAAGAGCACATGCTCAAAACGCTCAGGAAGAAGGCCAGGCTGTCCTTGCAAAGACGCAAATTTAAAATGTAGTGAACAGTGCATGTGTGGCAAAAAAAGTCGAGGCACAGTTGTGAAGTGGTGCTCAAACGGAAAGGTGAATCAACTCTTCTTTTTTTCTTCCAAATTAGACCGCCTCATAGAAAGTATATTAGTTAGTAACATTAAGATTGTATAATTTCTAACATTTTAGTCCAACCCAATTCATGCTTACAGTCCTGCTACAGACTTTGTAACGCTGTGTTTGAAACATGGTTAAAGGGGGGTTCATCATGGTCAAATTGTAAAAAAGTTGTAAAAAGCCAACTTAGGTAAGTTGTTCAGTAGTAAAAAGCTATTCTATTTTAATCTTCGATTTCCCCACACTACAATATAAGGAAACTTATCCCAGCTCCCAAAAATACATATGAAATTGGGACTAAGCCTACCTTTTCTCTGTACTTACGCATTTTTCATGGGCAATAGAATTGATGTGAACATGAAAGGGACCTTGCTAATGACTCATAGCAAAGCCTTCCAGATGAACAGAATCCTAAACAAAATTATTCTCGTAGCCTTGGCATTTCAAAAGTACCTTTCAAATCAGCATACAAGTTAATCATTCACCCAAGCTCCCACTGCCCTTACTTTCATATTTCAAATGTATCAGAAAACATTCTTTTGAGATGCACAGTTATTTCATGTTGTAAACCATGATCAGGAGACAACCCTTTTGTTATTATTCCAAATCCCAGATTTTAACTGCTTTTGCGTCCTCTTGAATGTTTGATGGGGGGAGTTGTCTTTTAAGAAAATCCCCCCAAAGCTTATCAGAATCCCTCATGTTAGATTCCCACTTTTTGTGTACAAGAATAGACTAGGTAACAGAGAATGCATACATTTGTATGAACATTGAGCTGTGCTTTCCTTAACCCAGATGCTAAGCAAAACATATTCATTTCTCTATAATTAGATCCTTATTTATATTGATCAGGGCTAGGAAGATTATGCTTTCTGGGAACGATTTGCCCTCCTGATCGTAACTAAAGAATAACAACCAACTTTTGGAATGTTACTTATGAGGTGAAATTACTTCATTTTTAGCCAGAGTCCATTCAGGCAAAACCAGCTGGAGGAAATCAAGCCAGAAATCAGGGTGGAAGCCAGGATGTAATCCTTTCCATAGAGCAGGAAATAGAGCTTGCAAGGTTGAGTGTGCAGGTGAATATCACAAAAATGTAAACTAGCATATTTTTTTATTTCATATGAAATAGTAACAAAAATTTTTATAAACAAATCACAACATTATATAGGCCAACATTGAGATTACCAATGTTTATTTTTAAAAAAATCAGCTTGTGACCCAGGAGCAGGTCCTTGAAGAGCAGGAACTTTTTGTTCCAGAAAAATTTCAGGCTCTATGTTTTTTATTCAAAAACAAATAAACAAGAATAAAAACCTGACTTTCAAAGAACCTAGTATTATTAGTAAAGGCTAGATAACAAAGTTTTGATCTAAAGATAGTAAATAAGGAAAACCACAACGCACTGAGAATAATCAACAACACGTAAATAAGTTAAGGCTAATATTTGCCCTGGCATTCATTAGAGCAAAAGTAAACAGACAAAATGTTTGTACTAAATGTGTTCTTTTTTATTTTTAGAATATAATCAATGACCTAACACTTGAAACACTTCAACAGCTCACTATTGAATTAGCTGTCAGTGGCGAGGGAAGCTTAGAGTTTGTGCGGGACCTGATAGATACCATACAGCGCCCAGAGGAGCCACTTCAAAGACCAAATTTGCAAATTTGGTGTAAATGTGGGATTTGTGTTGACACTGGGCATCCAGCTGAAAACAAGTGTTGTGACAGGAAAGTCTGTGTGACTGCCTACAGAATGTTTGGAAAGCTCTGTCTGGACAGAGATGTCCTACAGCTTAATATTACTGCAAGATGTGATATTCGTGCAGACCCTATGGATTTTTCTATGAATTCATTCAGGAAGGCTGCATATAGGCAGTTCACATTGTGGAAGTATGGCAGGCTAGGCAGAGGCAATCGAAGGATTCTCCCATCATGTGTGGTCAAGATAATTAGAGAAGCTTACCCATCACCCGATGGGCAGTATATGGGGTTTAAGAATAACTAAATTTGTTATTGAAATGTTGAATTTTACATTTTACAGTGACTTTTAGAGCTAAATTGAAAGTTTATTTCTTTGTTTCCATGCGTGATTTCCTTTCTTGAATAAGGTTGCTGGTTGGAGGAGGCTTTACAACTAGGTCCAGGTTCCTTGAAATGAGCTTTGGATCACCAGGAACTCTTGCAAGTCTCTCATGTACAGTGCCAGTGTGATTTTGACGATCAACAACAATCTTAGCCAGGCAATATGGAACATATGAATATTCCTTCTGTTCTTTGACGGGCTCAACTCGAAATTTCCTGGTAGCCTTGCTGTATTTTCGCTTAAAGCATGCTTGTCCATCCTTTGTTGTAGCCTGTGGTCGACTATTGTGCATATTGTGGTCTATTCCTGCAAGTGCCATTCTGCACTTAAAATAAGGATAGTCAAATGCACATCTTTTAGGAGCATACTTTGTAAGCATACTATTAAAATTCTCAATGGATCCTGTATGCCGAAATTTAGTGTAATATTTGAGTTTATTTAAGATTTTTGCATCAAGAACCACTGATCTCAATTTCTCCATCACTGCTGAATCTTTCTTTAAATACTGTTTAGGCTCAGCAGACTGAAGGGGCCCATGATTACACTGTGAATCTGCCCATTCATGTTCATCACAAATATGATGGAGAATACCAAGCCATGAATCTTTTAACTTTTCTTCATCCCCCTTTGCATTTTCACAGCAATGCCAGAAATGGTTGATTTTACCCTCAATCCAGGGTTTTAGCTCCTTTCCTTCCTTGTTATCTACAAGGCTATGTAGCTTTTTTGTCAGCCTCTTGGACATGTGCCAAACATCCAATGAATGGGCCATGTTCTTAAGCTGCGGGTGAATTGCTGAAAAATAGTGATATATGTACACTTAAATACCTAAATACCTCTATCAAGAATAAAGGCAAGGATTAAAAAATCATTAAGGCAATTTCAGCACTGTAGTATCTGATACCTTGAAAACAATTTTCTATTTAATTTTTTAAGTTTACACTAGTATGAATTGTCAACTGTGTCAAAATAAATTTTTATAGAGGTTTGGGTAAAATGTATACTGATGAGGTGGAAATCTTTGCTATGACATTTTGAGAATATTAGTGTGTTTGAGATTATACCTTTGAGGTCTGAAATTCTCCTCATCAAAGAACTGGAAGCATCTGTAGCAATCTCTCCAATGTCAATTTGCTTCATCCAGCGCAGCAAAATGCGAGTTAAGCCTTCTCTTTCCATATTGGTAGCATCCCCACCAGTCTCCCGTTTATCAAGAACCTCCATGTCTATAATTAAATTTGTTAAAAGGTCCATGGCAACATAGAGACAGAATCGTGCAGAAAAGCCAGGGGAGTCATTTCTTCCATCTCCACCAACAATAATGTCTTTATAGGGCATCAATATTTCCAGAAGTTTGCACTTCATGTCATCCCACATAGTCAGTATCACTGGCAAATAAAATAGCCTTTGGTTTCTACAGAAAACTGATCTGTTTGGCACAGCAAGTCTTAAAAACTTACAAAGCAGCTGAAATTTTGAATAATTATTGCCGGAGAGTAGAACACAAGCCCCAATCAGCAAGTCATTTAAATAAATATCTTGATTGTGTGATGTTCCAATGACTTCTGAAGATACCCATAAGCCACTGTGTTTGTAAGGACAGCACCATCTTAAGTGTGCATAATCTAAAACTCCATGGCAGACAGATCCATTATCCAGAACATGAAGGCATTTTCTACCTTTCAGTTCTTTGAGTTTTTCCACAGATACAATCACTCTCTGCTGTTGGCTTAGCCTGTAAGCCTCACCAGCACCATCCACTGGAAAAAGCATGGTCAACGCATCTGATGCTTTCTTTTTTATTTCAGTGGCATTTGCAATTGCAGAAGCTTGAATTTGTGGGACTTGGTCATCAAGGCTTTCTTCAAGGTCCATTGAGTTAGCTTTGTCACAGCTTTTAAAAATAAATGTCCTGTTCAAGTCAAGATCAGTCAAACCAGCTAACAGACTCTGATCTTCGATGTCTAAATTTCTAGAATGATGTAGTGTTTGATGGATTTCATCTACCTCTTCTTTGTCCAGTCCTTCATCATCTTCACTACTAAGTTGGGCAATGAATATTGATGTTTCCTTTGCTGATGTCAAGGTGGCACTAAAAGAAACAAATTACCAATAACAATTTTCTTTACACAACACAACAAGTATCATTTTGTAATCAGCATTTTTTGCCTACTGTAAGGATCTTTTTAAAAGGATTTTCATTCAACCATTCTTGGCTGAAAAAGAATTCTTCGCTGATAAAAAATTTGTGGAGTTAACATGCACAAAACCTGTTGCATATATATTTTAGAAAAACATTTAGTCTCAATTTCAAATGTGGTGTTAATTCCTTAAAAAGTTAGTTTTCATATATGGAAAGTGAAACAATCCATTAAAATTTGAAAAATGAAAGAATCCTTGCTACAATAGGTCTGAAATGTAACTTATCCAGAAAAGTTAAAAAGAACTGTCATCTTATTCACCATTTATCAGTACTTGAATCTGTACTTGAGTCACTGCTTCCATCATCACTGGAATCTAAGCTTGCACTGGAGCTACTATATGAATCTTCATCATCTGTGTTTGGGTCTGAGTCACTAAATGGATCTTCATCTATGGTACTAATATCTTCATTGAGGCCTTTAAGTCTTGAAAAAGTACCCCCAAACATAGTCTTTTCTGCAGCAGATTTTGTGACCTTGTGAGGGAAAAATTCATTCTCTAGTCCAATAGCACTGAAGTTCAGTTGTTGCCTCCTTCGTTTTTTTGTATTGATGGCGTTGATTCTAAAATAGGGACAAAAGACAAAAAATTCAGGTTTGCAGCAGTTTTTGGTAATGCAGAAAAATTGTAGATCCCAACACCAATTTTAATCATCTTTTTTATAATTTTAATCATATTTAATCAAAAAACATCAATTTTACTAAAAAACTCTACAAATCATTCAGCAAGGTAAATTGAACCATGAACTACAAATGGTGACATCCTATAAAGAGTGATTGGGGGCATTTTCAGCACAATTTATGGGTGAGACAATTTAAGAGACAAAAACAGCTACACCCTTGGCAAAAAATGCTGAGACACTCGCAGAAAATTGAGCTAGTTTCAAATCATCCAGCCCCCCGTCCCCCCAAATCAATGTTGTGATGAGAGTAATTCTGCTCGCGGTCATGCCCAGTTATACCGCAATCATAAAACCCAACATTGACATCGGGGGGAAGGGGGTGTGGGCTACCAGAGCATGTTATATAATAAAAAGACATGTGACTTCACTTTTTGAAAAAAAGTCTCAGCTATTTTTTGCCAAGATTGTCTTAATATGATTGTTACAAGGTATCAAGTTGAGTTGGTGTATTTTTGATTTTTTAAAAAAAGGGTACCAATTAATGCAATGATTAACTGTTGCTATGAATACGAGGCTATCAATGTCCATCAAAATCTCACGTGACTGTAGTTGTGACGTATGATTAGAGGAGAAATAAGTTAAGAATGTACAGTATCGTTAGCTTCTCAAATCGTTATAATGGGGCGTGTGCGACCGGTATCAACAGAAATTCGTGCATATATTAAGTTTCGAAAAGGCTCAAAGGTGGATGATTTGATAAAGGAAACTGGAGTGTCGCGCTCCCATATATACAAAATTTGGGCGAGTTCTTTCAATTCAGAAACAAAAAAGGAGCCTGTACAGAAACAAACAAGAAAACGTGGACGGCCAGAAAAACTATCAAGAAGAGATAAACGACGAATTCTCAGACTGGTAGGCACATTACGAAGGCAAAATGCAAACTGGACCGTAAAAAGGCTAATGGCCAGGGCCGACCTACTGGATGGAAGAGTGGCGAGAAGAACAGTTTCACATTTTCTAAATAAAAATGGATATTTCTATCTCCAGGCCCGTAAAAAGGGGCTTTTGAGCGAAGCTGATAAACAAAAGCGAGTCCGGTTTGCCAGAAATATGCTGCAATTCTACCCAGAAGATGTGTGGACACAAAAAATTGCTTTCTATTTGGACGGGGTTGGCTTCGTTTACAAAAGAAACCCACGAGACCAGGCCATGGCACCAGCTGGTCGAGTATGGCGAATGAAAAAAGAGGGACTTCTCCAGGGCTGCACTGCGAAAGGACAGGCATGCGGAACAGGAGGGAAATACGTGAAGATGATAGTTGCCATCTCTTACGACAAAGGGGTCATAATATGCCAAAGATACGAAAAAATGACCGGAAACTATTTTGCAGGTTTTCTGGACGAGCACTTCGAGAACATGGTCATAGAGGCTGGGAAGGGTTCTCGCATGTGGATTCAAGATGGAGACCCTTCTCAAAACAGCACGGCATCAAGGGAGGCCATGACAAGAGTCAGCTCAGTTCTCCTGCCAATTCCACCGCGTAGTCCAGATATGAACCCAATAGAGAACTTTTTTGGAATTGTCAAAGCCCGTTTAAAGATGGACGCAATAGAAAGAAACATCGAAGTTGAAACAATGGACGAATTTGAGAATAGAATACGATGCATAATGAAAGATATACCCCTAAAAACTACAAACTCTATAATAGAATCGATGAACAAAAGAATGAAACTAATTATTGAAAATAGAGGGGAACGACTCAAGTATTGATTTGTAAACGTGTATATGTAGATTTTGTATTCTTCGATATGTAACACTTTATTGTGTATGAAATTATTGTTCTGTCTGAAATTAAACTGCCTCTGTTCAAAACAAAACTTCTAAAATGGCTGCTTTGCACAAGATTATCAAGTTTTACCCAAAATAAGGTGGAAGTTGCGTGTCTAACCAACAAATAAAAAAGAAACTACCAACGATTCACCAACGGTTCACCAACGATTCACCCACGGTTCACCAATTTTTTTTTGTTACCTTAAGTACTGGCTCTGACGGTTCACCAACGGTTCACCACTGTTTATAAAGAATACTACTATAAACCTTATATACTTGTGGTGAATCGTTGGTGAATCGTTGGATTCCGTACTTAAGCCTATAATTACTGGATGGTGAATCGTTGGTGAACCGTTGGTGGATCGTCATGAACGTCACCATCACGAAACACAAGTGACACACGAGTGCCTTTTAATTCAACAGGGGCCTGCGATACTCATTGGGAATGTGGCAATGAACAAACTTCTGTAAGCGAACCTCGAAATATCAAACAAAGCCTATCTTTGTAATGGTATTATCATTTAAATTTTCATGCATGAAAGTACTCAATATAAAAAAGTTAGAAAGTAATCAATAACAACTAAGTTATATAGAATAACTAATTGAAAGTTATCAACTTGCAAAGAGTTGCGTGAGAGTTTCTAGGCATCTGAGCCGAGCATCAACAGTTCTGCAAAGCAGCGTTTGCATTTAGGAATGACTCTTACGTCTCTTTCCTCAATTTGCCAGTGAAAATTGAAGTATCTCCACCGACAGTCCATCATTTCATTCTCCCGCTCATCGGTGCTGTTGTAACGGCCAGGATACCGTATCTGTTCTTTTCCTGTTGCAAAGATGGGGGTGTCTCTATCGAACATAATGTCCTTGGCATAAGTGGACTTTGGGGCTGCAAAATGGATAGTTTGCCCCTCGAGAAGAAGCAACATATCTTGCCAGGCCAATATTTCTTGCGAGTAGCGAAAGTCATTCAAAAAGATGACATCTACATTCTCTGCGCCAAGCCAAGCATAGCTAGTACTGGCAGGATTAGTAAATACCCTGAACATATCGTTAAGGGGGTCGAGCATGAATGTTTTTCCGCAGTTTGCTGGACCCACAATCATGATATTACGATGTTTGCCGCGACCTTTCGTCAATAGCTCCCTAACAGCATCGGCAAAACTGAAGGCATTGACCCCATTGTTTCTTAAAACCTCTCTGGCACAGTTTAGCCACAAACCACCACACAGATGGGCACAAGGTTCCAAAAGAGCTTCCCTCACAATGGCCATTCGCGACATTGTATTGCGTGAAATAATAGCTGATGCATTTTGCATTTTCCACACACTCTCGATCAGCTCGTTTCTGCATTTGGCGGGTTTTCCCAAGACAAAGTTGGCCAGGTCCACCTTTCCAAGGTCTTTTTGCTCCTTCGCA